TCTCTTCCAACCCAGCTGATTCTGTGATTCTGTGATTCCATGGGATGGGACAGCTGTCCCCAGCCTGGGGATGGATGGATGGAGCCCTCCAGGGCTGCCTCAGGGAAGGAGCAGGAGGTACAAACCAGGGCAGGCTGCAGCCTCAGGCATGTTTTTCCCTCCTTTCCCTGTCACCAGCTGGCACCAGGCTGTGTTTGCTCCCAGATGGATCGGAGGTGACACCTCTGGTCATGTCAGTGCTGTTGGGATGATATCTCTATTTTCTCCTCTCTCTCAGTGCTCTGGTAGGACAAGGTGGGGAGGAAGGGCTTGTAAACACCTCCAGAGATGGATCACAGACACGGAAGGCTCATGAATTATTTGGGTTGCTCCTCACTTGTCAGCAGCTCAGCCTAATTTAGGTGCTGTGCTTCCTATTTTTCATCTTGGAAGTGACAAGTGCTCCGGCTCCGTGTGCTCTGGGATGGGATTTGATGAAGGGTTTGGATCATGCAAAAAATTAACCGTGTGTTAAATGGTGCGTTGGAAGCTTCAGTGGCTTCCCAAACATCACAGAATCCCAGGATGGATTGGGTTGGAAGGGACTTGAAAGCCCACCCAGTGCCACCCCTGCCATGGGCAGGGACATCTTCCACCAGCTCAGGTTGCTTCAACCTTTCCTTGGACACTTGCAGGGATCCAGGGGCAGCCACAGCTTCTCTGGGAATTCTATTCCAGGGCCTCCCCACCCTCCCAGCCAGGAATTCCTTTATAATATCCCACCCAGATCTCCCTTTTTCCAACATGAAGCTATTCCCTGTGTCCTGTCCCTCCATCCCTTGCCCAAAGTCCCTCTTCACCTTCCTTGGCTTGAAGCCAGGTGCGGTGGGTCATCAGCCACAAAACCAGGAAAACACCCGGAAAAAAAAAATCACGGAGAAGCTTCAGCACCCGTGGAATGAAGCACATGGAATGAAGGCACCTTCAGATAAAGGCGCCGGGAAATGGAGCGAGTTTTAAAGAGAACAAATTTTCTTTCTGGGTCAGAAACCCCCAGGGCCTCCCCACCCTCACAGTGAAACAATTATTCCTTTTATCAACTTGAATTGACCCCTTTTTAGTTCAAAACCCTGACTTATGGCTCCACACCCTTTTAAAATCATAGGTAGGCATGGAGTGAAGCCAAATTTGTATTTTATTACACTGAAGGGCTTCTCTTTTGCGTTGCAGCCTTAAAAAAAGGACGCTTTTGGATCACCCCCGACCCCTACCACAAGGATGACAACATCCAGATCGGGCGGGAGGTGAAGATCTCGTGCCAGGTGGAGGCCATCCCGCCCGAGGAGCTGACCTTCAGCTGGTTCAAGAACGGGCGGCCCCTGCGGAGCTCGGAGAGGATGGTCATCACCCAGACCGACCCCGACGTGTCCCCCGGCACCACCAACCTGGACATCATCGACCTCAAGTTCACCGATTTTGGGACCTACACGTGCGTGGCCTCGCTCAAGGGAGGGGGGATCTCCGACATCAGCATCGACGTCAACATCTCCAGCAGCACCGGTGAGCAGGGGCTGGGGGGGATCCCGGGGGGAAGTTCTGGGGGGATGGAGCCAAGGATGGCTTTGCTCTCCCAGGATGGAGCCACGGGATGGCTTTGCTCTCCTGCTCATGGGTGGAAGGTTTTTGGGGGGATGGAGCCAAGGATGGCTTTGCTCTCCCG